TACAAATAAAATACATTTTAAAAAATGGCTCCAGTGATGGGACTACTAGTTTGTACTGAGATTGTCGTCCATCACAGGAGCGAGCTCGGAGCGGTGGAAGTAAGGGGGAAAAAATAGTGTGGTGTGCAATGTAGTGAAATGGAAAGTGTAAAATTATACAGCAATCAATGCAGAATGGCACCGGCTATAGAGGACTACAAATCCCAGCAATACATTATAGAGCACCATGTGGAGGGGGGAGGGGGGGTGCAGGCTTACCTGAGCAGTCTTCCAGCAACTTGCTTCTGAGATCGGGCCTGTCTATCGGCGGCTGTCATCCCCCCACACCTGCTCCTCCTTACTTCTCCCTGCCTCCCTGTGCCGATCATGAATGCGGGCGGTGAGCGCGAGGCGGGCAGGATGTGCGGCGTGTGGATGCGGGCAGGCGGGTCTGGCAAGGGTGAGGAGGAGCGACGCACAGCATGTGTGGAGCCGTGAACAGGGCCAACTAATCGGAAGCCGACGAATCGATGATTGAAAAAGTTGACAACTTTTTCAATCATCGATTTAGTCGATTAGTTGTTGCAGCCCTACTCGTCGCCATCCTCCCCCGGCTATTGTTTACGATTGGGATCCTGGTCATGTGATGGCTGTGTTCGGGAAGTCCGCTCCCAGTGTTACTTAGCGGTTAAAGAGTCGGGGGCAATGGTTCACCCGCTTATGTCCCCAGGCCTTCATCGATGATGTCGCAGTTCTGCACATTATATCTTTAGGTATTACACACCGGCCGAGAAAGTCACCACCTGTATTTATCTCAGGAAATAGGTCAGAGCCTTCCATTGGATAGGTGCTATGATTTGGAGTGGCTTCAGTGGGTCAGGTCTAGGTTCAGCAATGTTATGTGCCCAAAAAAATGAGGTCAGCTGTCTCCCTGAATATACGGAATGATCAGGTTTTCCCTTCCATGGATGTTTTCTTCCATGGTGGCACATTGGGCATATTCCAAGATGGCAATGACCAGGATTCATCGGGCTCAGATTGTGACAGAGTGGATCAGGGGTCATGAGACCTCATTGTCACACAGGGATTGGCCACCTTCCAGACCTTAACCCCATTGATGATCTTTGGGATGTTCTGGAGAAGACTTTACACCGCGCTCCGACTCTCCCGTCACCACTACCAGATCTTGGGGGGAAAATTTATGCAACTCTGGAGGGAAATAAAAGCTGTGACATTGTATAAGGTTGCCACGGCGAATGTGTGCCGTAACCAAAGATAAACGCGGTCCAATGAAATCTTAGAGTGTGTGACTTTTGTACGGGCCGTGTACTTGTATGTTGCACACCCCCTTTATATGTACCCCAAACATGTAGTTCACAGAGCTAATTAAAATTATATCACATTAGGACTTATTCGTATAGGAGCCGAGGTTGGTATAACGTAAAACCGGCCGGATCTCTGTGACTGGGAGCCATAGGTAGAGCTCATAGGCGACATACGCGTTTTACTTTGAGTGCTTTTCTCCCCTTTCGGTGCTACATTGTGACACACAGAGGGAAAAACAAACAAATAAAAATGGTTTGCATATTACATACATAGTTACATAGTCAGGTTGAAAAAGGACGCATGTCCATCGAGTTCAACCTATTATATATCAAATAATAAAATAGAGCGCAGTTTTAGGATGAAGTTGGGTTATCAAGGACACAAATGAGCACAACGGCATCATCTAAAATGTCACATTGGGTTGGCTTACTTGCACAGTGAATGCAAATGGCATCCAGATCATCTGACGTTCATGTTGGGACCCCCGGGGATTCGTCTGGGGAGGGAATATTTTTGTTTATTTTTAGAATAT